GAGATAGTCGGCGCATTGCCATTCATCGGCGGAATTGAATCCGGTCGGGGTTTTCCATGGAGAAGATCGTAGAGGCAGAAACGACCGACGGTAATTGTGAAAAAGTGGCTCCACTTTTGATAATTGGGATTTTTCAGATCTAGAGTAACGGGGATAAGAGATTTGATATTGGAGATGGCATGAGCAAGATGCAAAGGATTGAGAGGGGCGGTGGAGGGAGAAGAAGCGTCGCCGGCCATGGAGAAAAAGGTAGGGGCGACGGCTTAGACGAGAAGGGTGATGGTGACGGCTAGGTTAATCTAGTGTCTGATGCCATATAGGAGAAATAGAATTGGAGAAAAGAGAGAATTGTGTCTCTCACCTATAATAATAATAATAATAATAATAATAATAATAATAATAATAATAATAATAATAATAATAATAATAATAATAATAATAATAATAATAATAATAATAATAATAATAATAATAATAATAATAATAATAATAATAATAATAATAATAATAATAATAATAATAATAATAATAATAATAATATATATAATGGCTTAATTCCACTTTGCACCCTTGAAATATACCATTTTGGCACTTTGCACCCTCGAAAAATAATAATAGCACTTTGCACCCTCAAAACACAATAAATCATTCACAATGCACCCTCAATTGAATAATAAAGGCAATTTTATTTTTCATTAGTGTTTTTCTTTTCGGGGTACAAAATAATAAAAAAATATTGTTATTTTCTTGAACCTCAAAAAAACCTAATTTAAAGCGGACAGAGTGCGAAAAAAATAAAAATTACACCAGATTATTTGAAAAAACTACATATCTTACAAAAGAAAAATAAAACATAAGCTTTTATCAGTAAATTATTCGATTGTGGATCTTTTATGTAACTGTTTGAAAATATTAGGTGAAAATGTTTGGAAGAAAATATGGTTTTCAGATAATTTCATAACCGAATAGCTTAATGATTTTTTTTCGTAAAATATTTTATTTTGATAAAAAAGTATAATTTTTAAATATATTGATGGAATGTATTTTTATTTTTGAACTTTATAGTTACAAAATGATTGAAGAATAAAAAAATATTTGACATTTGGCATCCTAAAAAAATATCCCTAAAAATATTAAATTTATATTGTTTAGCTTTAAAAATTCATTTGGGGTGCATTATGCATGATTTATTGTATTTCGAGGGTGCAAAGTGCTATTAATTTATTTCGAGGGTGCAAAATGCCAAAATTGTATATTTCAAGGGTGCAAAGTGGAATTAAGCTTATATATAATATATACGTATGAGTAAACTGCAAATACTACCCCTGTGTTATCTCGAAATAGCAAAAACCCCCCTGTGATAAATAAACTAGCAAAAACCCCCCTGTGAAATTTATTCAAAGGCAGAATCCCCCCTAGCTGATTTTTTAGACTTGAAATGACAAAATTGTCCCTCAAAATGTATTTATATATATACATATTATATGTATATTTATTCTTTTTAATTTATTTGTTTAGAAATTTAAAAAATAGTAAACAACTAAATTGATTATTTTTTAAATAAATTAATTAAAATATTTATAAAATATAAGAATTTATTAATTGCAAGACTTCAGGGGTATTTGTGTCTTTTTATATCAAGTCAACCCTCAAATAGTTCCACAGGGGGGTTTTTGCTATTTAAATAATTTCACAGGGGAGGTTTTTGCTAGTTTATTTATCACAGGGGGATTTTTGCTATTTCGAGATTATACAGGGGTAGTTTTTGCAGTTTACTCATATTATCAACCAATGGGTTTTTGCCTTTTGGGATAAACTAAAAATGAGATGTACATACACATTGCTCTGTTTAATGTCGGGGTATTTGCTAACAAAAAGATTATATATAAAAATAAAATAAAGCCAAAAAAAAAAGAAAAAAGAAAAAACTTTTAAGTATTTAATTTAAAAGTTGGTGTGTTTGTAAATAAACTTTAGTTTTAGTTTATTTTGATGAAATGTCTAAATTGTCCTAATGAAGCGAAATTTGGATAAGAAAATAAGGTTGGGAGTTTCAAATGCATTTTTAAGTTAATTACATAAGAGTTTTCAAATATACAAGCCGTTCTAAAGTGGTGTTTGCAAATGCTTTTCAAAAGTGATTATGAACTTTTTAATGTTTAAAAGAAAAGTATTTTCAACCAAAAAAAGTTCATAATCACTTTGAAAAAACATTTACAAACACCACCTAAATACAATGTTCATATGATTGGTTTAAAACCACTTATTTTTAAAGAAGTAAGACGAAAAGTTAGTGTTACAGATATTAAAAAGTTGATTACAAGAAGAAATAAATAAAACAAAACTCATTCGTGTACAAAGATATGTTGATTAGCAAGAACCCCCTTATCTAGGAAATGTAGTTAAGAAAACACCCCCTCCTGAAAATAATTAGATAAAACCCCCTTATCTAATTTTCCACCCAAATAATATTTCATAATTCCAAAATTATCCTTATTGAATAATTGATCATACACTATCTCACCTCATTTTTCCTCATCTTCTCTTCTTTACGTATATTTTCCTTTCTCTCTCCTCCTTTTTCTTCATCATCTTCCTGTTTCTCTCTCCTCCTTTTCCCTCTCTTCTTCTTTTCACGTACAGACACACTTTCTCTCTCATTTTCACTCATCTTCTTCTTCTTCTTGTACTCTCTCTCTCTCTCTCTCTCTCTCTCTCTCTCTCTCTCTCTCTCTCTCTCTCTCTCTCTCTCTCTCTCTCCTCCTTTTTCCTCTTCTTCTTTGTACAAATGGAAAATATCGTCACTCATATCATCAACGGGATTGAAGCCATATACACATTAATATATATTTTTTTCTTACAATAAATCGCGTAAGAAATTAAGAGAGAAAAAAACAACACCCAATTTGTTTTGGGATTAATTTATGCAAATATATGTCAGAATTTTCTGTTGATTTGGACATGATTACAGTTTGTTGGGAACAAAGTATGAATTTTCAGATTCTTCATCTTCTTTCTTCTCTGTGTTTTTTTTCTCTTTTTTTTCTTCTTGTTATATTTTAATGGAGTTTTTTAGTAAAGTCGTTAATGGAGGATTTTATTTCTTGAAACTGGGAGACCGGGAGATCGAACTCCCACTATGGTTGACAAAGTGTGGTGTGGCGACGGTGTGGTGACGATGGAGAGGCAAGTTTAGGGTTTTTTGTTGGATTGGGCGGATAACGGCGCGTGTAGAAAATTTCGCGCAGGCTGAAACCTTAATCGACTATGTACATATTCATAGTCGATTAAGTTAATCGACTATGTTCTGGTAGTCGATTAATTAAGGTTGATCGACTCCAATTTTTTTTTTTTTAGTTTTTTTGGATTTTTCGTTTATTGATTCCAATTGTATAAATCAATTATAATGTTTGTATATTTTTTGTTTTTGTATATATAGGTGATTTTGCATTTTTTCGCAGTTGTGATTTGTTATTTCTAGTAGCAGATTCTTAATCAACTATGCGCTGGTATCGATTAAGGTTGATCGACTCCAATCTTCTTCTTTTTTTTTGGTTTTTTTTGTTTATTGATTTCAATTGTATAAATCAATTATAATGTTCTTATATTTTTGTTTTCTTGTAAAATAGAGTTGATTTTGCATTTTTCCGCAGTTGTGATTTGTTATTTTTAG